CTCCAGTCTGGTGACGTTTTCGGTTGGATCGGTTCTTCGCGCAAGTTCTTCTACTGCAGCTTTGATACTTCGCACAGCCAACCTAATGCCGCGAACAAACTCTCCTTTCAGGTTACGGGATCGATCAGCAACTTTTTCGAGAACCTGGAGGTGAAAATCAATTTGCTGACCGAGCTCTACGTCTCCATGTGAACGCATTTCACGGGCCAGCGTTTCCGGGCCCGGAAGGTTCTTCTTTGCCCTGGTGTTAGTGGGCGTTATGGAGGGGTCGAAAAGATCCTCCTCTGTTTCGATGCCTGTGGCGGCCTCTTCTTCAGAGGCGGTGGCTGACACTGCCGCGAATTTAGCGGCCACAACCGCAGCACTTGGGGGCTTGGCCTTACGTTTTCTTCCCCCTTCTGATGGAATCGATGTATGTGATACGGTAGAGCCATCGGACGCCCCTCCATCGCTCTCAATCGCCTGGTTTATCGGCGTATTGGGGCGCTTAAAGCGCCCACGCTTATTATGTGTCGGCACGGTTGTATCACCCGACACGGCTCCTTCCTTCTTGCTTTGCCCCTTAGATGTTGTGGGGCCCGCGGTTGACGCTTGTGCATCCCCGCGATGCAGTGGATTGCCCCCCCAGATACGATGGGGCTGCCACAGAGCCTATTAAGGCTGCTGGGGGTGGACTCCCCGCTTACCAATGGATTGGCGGGACCACCCTGGGTAATATATTCTTTGTCGCACTGCATGTTTGGTATCCTTTTATTATACAGGGTGTGGTCCCTGTTCCCCTGACCCCCCAAAGGCTTGAGACTGGGCTCCCTCCTAGCCATCCACCCCAACGGCACCTTAGACCTTAGGATAAGGGTTATTTTTGGAGAGTTTGTCTTCCTCACGGCCCTGCGGGGCCCCCGATCCCTAGTGGGCATACGGTTCACCCAGCATTGATGCACTTGGCATATCGCTGCGTGTGTTGCATCCCGTGTACGCTCTAATCAAAGAGCGATACCGGGAGCAACGACAAGCCTGTGAAGGCCCGTCTTTTAGGGTATTGAGCCCCGTCCGTTTCTGGCCCTGGTGGAACCACGGATATGCCTACACCCGGCCAGTATTGGTCCGCGGCGGTTTCCCGCAACCACCCATATCTGGGTGGCATTCCCCTATCCGCCACCTGGGGACGCGCCCGATGGGAGCACTGGCAACTCCACACGGGAACCTAACCTAACCTAACCTAACCTAACCTAACCTAACCTAACCTAACCTAACCTAACCTAACCTAACCTAACCTAACCTAACCTAACCTAACCTAACCCAACCTAACCTAACCTTTTTTTTTTTTTTTGCATGGGGAAATGCCTACGCATACCCGCCTCGCGGGGGCAAGGACGGGTTATGTCGGACCCGCACCGACTAAAACCCCATGGTGTTCCACCTTTGTCGCATATTGGCAGGGCTACGGGAACGCTTTCGCACACATCCGCGGCCCTACTAGCGCCTGCCGCCCCATGGCAGCACCTCCTCGGGAGAGGAAAATTCCTCCCCATTCTCCTTCCCAGGTAAGGCGCACCAGAACACATGGCGCGCCTTCCTCCACGGCCTCCAACTACGTCTGTGCAACAGACGCCCCCCGCGTCCGATGCACAATGGCCATGGGGCCAGGAAAAACGAGCACTTAGAAGTACTAGCCTTCCCGACCCCAGCGGCGGATCTGGTCTATGGCTCCGCCGCCAACCAAGATTCGGCTGCGGAGGGTAGGGAGAGCGGCGCCTCGCAATACCGACAATCCTCTCCCCCCGCAGCCCCACCACCACCGCATCAACGGTGCGGCCCCGTTTGAGTCGCGAAGGATAGGGCGAGTGGCGCATCGCCATACCAACACTCCTCTTCCTCCGCGACTCCACCTCGGCTGCAGCGGTAGAGGGCGCGCGAGTCCCCACTCGCTGCAGTCCACCAGCACACATCCAAAGTGGGCTCCCCAAGCCCACTCGGAGCGGCCACCTCAGGCCGGCTCTTCACCTCGGGCCAGCCACGTGGGTTCCTCTTTGTTCACCGTGGGAGACCAAGCCACGGCTACTAAGCCCCCCCGCCACGACAAGGCGGGAACCCGTTCGGGGGGGGAACCTAACCTAACCTAACCTAACCTTTTTTATTTATTTTTTTTTAACATGGGGAAATGCCTACGCATACCCGCCTCGCGGGGGCAAGGACGGGTTATGTCGGACTCGCACCGACTAAAACCCCATGGTGTTCCACCTTCTTTGCATATTGGCAGGGCTACGGGAACGCTTTAGCACACTTCCGCGGCGCCACCAGCGACTGCCGCCCCATGGCAGCACCTCATCGGGAGAGGAATATTCCTCCCCGTTCTCCTTCCCAAGTAAGGCGCACCAGAACACATGGCACGCCTTCCTCCACGGTCTCCAATTACATCTGCGCAACAGACGCCCCCCGCGTCCGATGCGCGAAGGCCATGGGGCCAGGAAAAACGAGCACTTAGAAGTACTAGCCTTCCCGACCCCAGCGGCGGATCTGGTCTATGGTTCCGCCGCCAACCAAGATTCGGCTGCAGAGGATAGGGAGAGCGGCGCTTCGCAATACCGACAATCCTCTCCCCCCGCAGCCCCATCACCAACGCATCAACGGTGCGGCCCCGTTTGAGTCGCGGAGGATAGGGCGAGTGGCGCATCGCCATACCAACACTCCTCTTCCTCCGCGACTCCACCTCGGCTGCAGCGGTAGGTGGGGAGGACACACCTTTCACCGCAGTTCACCAACACACATCCGAAGTGGGCTTCCCAAGCCCAATCGGAGTGGCCACCTCGGGCCGGCCTTCCACCTCGGACCAGCCATATGGGTTCCTCTTTGTTTCGCCGTGGGTGACCAAGCCACGGCTTCTAAGCCCCCCGCCACGACAAGGCGGGAACCCGTTCGGGGGGGAACCTAACCTAACCTAACCTAACCTAACCTAACCCAGTTGCAACCGATCCGCGCTTGAATAAGCATCATTTTGCACGAGCTCCGCAGTTAAAAATCGAAAAAAGTGGGTTATTGTGGTCCGATCTGGGCAAGTGAAGTGTCGTCGGGTCGGGTTTCCTGAGACCTATACACAGCTTCAGCTTAAGAAATCAACCCGGACTGCTTCGGTTGACGCACAGAACCTGAAAAACTACCTTTTTTGAGGTTAGTTTTTGAAAATTCATCTTGAAACGCATGCGGTGAACGATTTTGACGAGTGCCCCCTAAATATTTGACTGCCCTGAGTAGGGCCTCAATGGACTGCAACTTCCTGGTGCATCAGAAATATTTTTGGACCACGCATCTCGGAATTATTTCCAAAAAAATAAAAACCACGTGTTGCTGAAATCCTAGAACGGGAGCAGCCACCAGCCTGAAAATCTACAACAAGTAAGAGGAAGACAAGGAGAGCTTTTTATCTATTTATAGATTTTTATAATGTATAGTTTTAAAGTTATTACTTTTTTAAAATTGAAACTTTAGGTATAAATTTCTCTCTAAGTATAGCGTTCGCAAAAAATTTGAAATTGCTATCTTTTGCGCGCTTGCTATAGTTACATAAAACCATTTTTAAAATTTAATTTAATTTGCACAATTAAGCACATACATATACAATTAAGAAAAATTGACGATTTTGGAAAAAATCCGTCAATTTGGTTTTTTGGTTCTGTTCTTTGTTTCCTCATATCTCCGAAGATCCTGGTCGCAGAAAACCCGGATTTCATACTCTGGCTGGAGGAGTACATGGTCTTCAATAATATTAAAATTTCAGGTGTTTTGGATGCTAAAAATTTCTCTGCCTTGAATCCACTTTCAGCATACAATTTAGGTCCAGCCGAGCTGTACATTCAAAACCCCGTTGTTGTGCGACTTTTAGTTTAGCAGTTACGGGCTTCCAAACATAGCATCTGACAGCTCGGCGGCCACATTGAAAATTTTTAAACAGCCAGATCTTTGGTTCTAAGCGTCATAGAAACCTGCGGATTTCGGTATTGGTATCTGAAGACTGAGCTCTATCCACCTTCTCAATTTCAAGCTTTTTAGAGCTCATCTTTTTTTTAGGTCCTGAAAGTGATCTTATCATAAAATCTGGAAAACGCTCAGCAAAATAGTCCAAGCGCGGGTCCTCTGCGATTGGTAGAAGTAAAGTTATTAGCAATCAAACTTCGAGTTTGACATTTCAGCGGCCATCTTGAAAAATTTAAAAGGCCTATATCTTTTGAACTGGTGGTCGTAGAGGACTGGGGTTTTGGTCCTAAACAACAGCAAAGAGTGCTGGAGTAGGTAATAAGCTTTCAGGAAATTTCAAGGTCAAAAATTATATCTCCTGAAAATTACATAACGTTATAGTCTTCATCGGGCCCATCAAAATGAGCCCAAGCACGGAGCTGTAGGCCCATTCGTTCATGAGTTGCAGCGTTTTAACCATAAAATTGGCAGCCATCTTGATCTGTAACCAGAATTTTAGGGTGCTGTAGCTTCGGAACCTATTGGGCTGGAGACACCGAGTTTGGTATCATTGAGTAGGGCTTGAGAAGCGCTCTTAATTGAATGTAAGAAATCGACTCTACGTAGAGCCAAAAGCCTGTTAGCCTGTAACTACCTTTTTAAAACTATATTAAGAAAATTTTTTATAACAATAAATTAGACATATATTTAATCATAAAACTGGAATAGGATATATGGACTGACTCTAGATAGAGTCATTTATAAATAAAATAAAACTTATTTAGTTTTAAAATATTAGAGACGAATATATTAATGTATATTCATATAAATATATATAAGTAATTAAAGATTGTAAAACTAGTGACAATATTGCACGAAATGGAGTTACGACTCTACAAAAAAACAAAAAATCCTATTAACAACGGAGACGGGGTATACAGTCTGGCATATAGAGAGCTCTCTTTTTTAGGAATATACTAAATTGTAAAATTTTTGCAATAATCTATACGAATTAGACCTTTCTATTATAAGAAAAAAAAAATCAAAACATGGCATCGAGACTAAAACTTGACAATACTGCGGGCTCATTGAAGCCCAAAACCGCTGTGACAACGGCCGGGGTAATGTCTACGGGAACATCAAGTAAACGGGTACCATCGACAACCGGAGGGAATACCTCCGTTTCACCCACGAAGTCGCGCACACCCGACATATCCTTAGCACACTCCAGCTTCTCTACACCAGAAAGCTCTCCTGCAAGCCTTTTTGCCAAGGCAAATCGGTTGTACCAAGAGGCCAAAACCCAAATAGAGCAGTCGGGAAATATAAAAACATCTATCAAGGAAACCGTGCTCAGTAATATCGCAGGGATGTATGAGATCATTCTCCGACTTAGTGAGTCAAGACAGACACTCCAGGTACAACTGGAGAAGTCTCGAGCAGAAAATGCAGCGACATTGTTAAAGCACGAGAGGGAACATGCGGAGCAACTATCTGAAGCGAGGAAACATAGTTCATTACCCTCAACTGCAGCGTCTCCACCAATCGAGCTAATGAAGGAGCTTATAGAAAATTTACGAGACCATACAAAAACAGTTGTGGAATGCCAAAAACATACAATAACACTCACCGAACAACTTAAGCAACCTCCACAGAATAACATCTCGGAACGAACATATGCACAAGCAGTAGGTACTTCAAAACATCAACAGGTACACTCGGTTGTAGTAACGTCAGATGAGCCGAAGGACACTAGTGGTGAGGTTATTGATAAAATTAGAACGGCGGTAAATGCAAGATACAAATAGAGAGGATACGCAAAGCGAAAGATCTGAAGGTAATCGTAGGATGTAAATCCAAAGAAGAGCTGGCAAAAGTGACAGAGAGAATTAAGCACTCGGGAGGAAGCTTGCATGTCGAAGAGGTAAAAAATAAGGACCCTCTTATAATCCTTAAAGACGTATTAGCATACAATTCAGATGAAGATGTCGTGACTGCGCTCACAAATCAAAATAATCACCTAATAGGAGATATAAAAACAGAAGACCAGAGACTCGTCGTGAAATATCGACGTAAGACTAGAAATCCTCATGCAAACCATGTAATCATGCAAGTTTCCCCCCAAGTGTGGCAGCGACTAACAGCAGTGGGGCGAGTGCACGTTGACTTGCAGAGAGTTCGAGTGGCAGATCAGATACCACTAGTGCAGTGTTCACGTTGCCTAGGCTATGGTCACGGTCGAAGGTTCTGCAAAGAAACTGCTGACATCTGTAGCCATTGCGGTGGCCCGCATTTAAGAGCAGAATGTACAGAATGGCTTGCAGGAAACGCACCATCATGTCGAAACTGCTTTCACGCAAAACTAGATAGGAACGACCACAACGCCTTTGACTCCAAATGCCCAATTAAGAAAAGATGGGATACCCTGGCTCGATCGACGGTAGCGTATTGCTAAAGACGACTTAGACGCAAATAGCACTTCGCCGGATGCACAGACCCTCCAAACTCTACAAACGTATAGAGTCGTACAGGCCAACCTACAAAAGAAAAAGCTGGCAACAATGGAATTTATTATAGAGTCTGCCAAAGAAAGGATTTCTTTTGCGCTAATACAGGAACCCTACATAGGCTCCCAAGGAGTACTTAAAACACATCTCGTGTGGTTCAACGTAGTAACAACAGGACAAAACCTATAAAGGCGGCTATAGTAGTTTTCGACGAGAATGTGGAGATTATTGAAAGCCCCACATTGACGACAGAAAATATAGCAGTTGCTATATTAAAAACTAACGAATGGACCATGGGAGTCATATCGATCTACATGGAGGATTATTTGCCAATCGAACCCTACTTGGATAATATAAAAACCATTGTTGGGTCTATAGGAACCAACAAAATACTGCTTGCAGGAGATGGAAACGCATGGAGTACATGGTGGGGAAGTGTGACAGAGGACCACAGAGGAGAGGCGCTATCAGGGGTTTTAGAAGAGCTAAACTTGCAAATTCTTAACATCGGTAATGAACCAACATTTGACACCATAAGAGGAGGGAAACATTATAAGAGTCATGTTGATATCACGGCATGCACATTGGAATTACTAGGAGCTGTAAATGACTGGAGAATAGACAAAACTTTAACTAGCTCAGACCACAATGCGATCAGATTTAATATAAAATTAAAAAAACCAACACAAGATAGACAAAGAAGTACAAAAAGAATATATAATACGAAAAAGGCGAATTGGCCTCTTTTTTAAAGAAGAATTGATGAATCAGCTAAAAGGAAGGAATATAGACAAAAATGAGGTTAGTAATATCAATACCAAAGAAGGGCTAGAACAAATGATAGAAAATTATATCGACGGAGTAAAGAACACGTGTAAAAAACAATACCTCTTATTAAAATTAAGAACAAAATGAAAATAGCATGGTGGAATGAAGAATTAGAAAAATTGAAAAGAGAAATGAACCCAAAAAGAGAAGAATACAATGTGCTGCACCTAGCCGTAAAAGATGGGTAGTGGAGGAGTTCCTCCTAGCAAAATCAAAATATGAAGAAGAGACGATGAAAGCCCAAACAGAAAGCTGGAAGAACTTCTGTACAAAACAGGATAAAGAGAGTATGTGGGATAGTATTCATAGAATAATTGCAAAAACCAGTAAAAGATATGAAGACCAACCACTGGTAAGGAATGGAAAAGCCCTGAGTGTGGATGATTCAGTGAGATGGCTAACAGAGACATTCTTCCCAGACGATCGGGAAAATGATGATAACGCTGAACATCAGCTAACAAGATTAACGGCAAGCAAGTTGGAATCACTAGCCACTGATGAAATTGATCCGCCCTTCACTATGGCCGAACTTAATTACGTGTTGAACAGTTTCAATCCGAAAAAAGCGCCAGGGCCAGACGGTTTAACAGCGGATATCTGTTCGGTTGTAATATCCCAAGCGCCAGAAATCTTCCTGAGCATTGTAAACAAATGCCTACAACTGTCACACTTTCCTATACCCTGGAAATTAGCAAGAGTCATAGTTATAAGAAAACCAGGCAAAGATAACTATACGGCCCCAAAATCTTATAGACCAATAGGTCTATTGTCAGTCATGGGTAAATTGCTTGAGAAAATTATCATAAGGAGGATTAGATGGCACCTTCTACCACTAACAAATCCTAGGCAGTATGGTTTCATCCCTCAACGCAGCACAGAGGATGCTTTGTATGACCTTTTAAAACATATAAAACAAAACTTAACTAAAAAACTCATTAACGTAATAGTTTCGCTCGATATAGAAGGAGCGTTTGATAGCGCCTGGTGGCCGGCAATTCAGTGCCGACTAGCAGAGAAACGCTGTCCGCAAAATCTATTTCGTCTAGTAAATAGCTATTTAGAAGATAGGAGGGTTTGTGTAGGCTACGCGGGTGCTATTTGTTCGAAAAAAAATGTCAAAAGGATGTATTCAAGGCTCTATTGGGGGCCCTACATTTTGGAATCTACTATTAGATCCCCTGTTGGATGGGTTGGAGAAACGTGGAGTACATTGTCAAGCGTTCGCCGACGATGTTGTCCTGATATTCTCCGGAGGAACTACCTCAGTAATACAAGAAAAAGCCAATAACGCCCTGGCTTATGTATATGAATGGGGAATCAGAAATAAACTCAAATTCGCACCACATAAAACAAGCGCTATGATTATAACAAGAAAGCTTAAATATGAGGCCCCACATATACAAATGGGAGGAACTGTGATAAGTTTAGTGGAAGAAATGAAATCACTCACAAACTCACAATAGACCACAAATTGATCTTCCAGAAACATGTGCAACTTGTCTGTCGAAAAGCCGCTAACATCTACAAGCAACTTGCTCGAACGGCTAAAATCGAGTGGGGTCTTAATCTGGGGATTATCAGGATAATATATGTAGCAGTGATAGAACCGATTATCCTGTATGCGGCTAGCACGTGGGCTACTGCAGCAGAAAAAATTAGCATTCAAAAACAGCTGAATGTAATCCAGAGAGGATTTGCGCAAAAAATGTGTAAGACTTATCGCACAGTCTCCCTAAATGCCGCAATGCTCCTAGCAAGATTGCTTCCTCTAGATCTTCAGGTCCAAGAAGCAGCTTCTCTTTGTGAAGCAAAGAGAGGTAAACCTCAGGAGAGAATAGGTTGTAAGAAGATAGAAAGTAGAGTCTGCTTCCTAAGGGCACAACATCCAGCCAAGGAAGTGAAAGTCACATTCGAATGCCTGGAAGATACTAAGCCTGAAACACTCAGAAAATTCAACATAATGGGTGATCAAATTTACACAGACGGGAGCAAAATTGAAGGAAAAGTTGGAACAGGATTATCCTGCTGGCATAATAACACCGAGATTAAAGTCAAAAAATTTAAGTTGGAACCGTTCTGCACCGTCTTTCAGGCTGAACTTTATGCTATCTTTCAGGCGACAAAACTTGCATTGGAACATGAAGCAAGAATAATCAGAAAGAATCAGAAAAAATCTTAAGATCTTAAAAGATAATAATAAAACAGTAAAGTTATTTTGGATTAAGGCGCATGCGGGACATCAGGGGAACGAAAGAGCGGACCACTCAGCAAAAGAAGCGGCACTATATAAGAAAACAGCATCCCAATATGATAGATGCCCCATATCATTCATAATAAGAATGATAAGGGTAAAATCAGTGCAGGAGTGGAACGAACGGTACACAATCAGCGAGACAGCTACGACCACCAAAATATTCTTCAAAAATGCCGAAACAGCGTATAAATTAATAAGGAAAATTAAACCATCACCAGAACTAGTGCAAATATTTACGGGGCACGGTGCCTTCGCAGGATACCTAAATCGCTTTAAGTGTAGGACAAGCGCTGGTAGTGTTTGTGACTCCGAGGTTGAAGAAACGGTGATGCACTTGCTCATTGACTGCCCAATGTACAGTAATAAAAGGTTGGACCTGGAATAGAAAATAAATATAAGAATTACAGAAGGCAATATCATGGATATTCTAGCAAAGAAAAGTGAAAGAAAAGAATTCATAAAATTCTGTGAAGATATAGTAAAAAAGGTAAAGATTAAAAATAAGACATAGGAACACAATAGAAAACTAAGTTAAAAAAAATCGTAAGAAATATGTATAGTATATATTAAAACGTAATATATTAACTATTCATACAAAATGCTGCATAAGACCAGAAAATGATAAGGGATGGAGTTTAATCAGTCTAGAATGTAAGTATGCCATGAAAAAAAATAGAGTTCAGTAAAATAGATTAGTTAGTATTAAATAAATAACAAAATAATACGTAATAAGTTTGTATCAAATCTACTGTTAAAAAGAAAAAAATGTATTGATAAATCCAGCCTAGAGATAAGATGTGTAAAGTTTATGACAAACACGTCATTGTTCGCATTAGGTTAAGAGTAGAAGGACTCCCGAACGAAAACCCGGAGTCCTCTACACCCTATACTATAGCAAGGACAAGGAAATAAAATCAGAATTAAAAGTCCATGTCGAGCTGACAATGTCTCTGACCCCCTATGTCAGAGGAAAACAGCAATACATATATAAAAAAAAACCAACCCAACCCAACCCAACCCAACCCAATACCCAACCCAACCCAACCAAACAACCCAACCCAACCGAACCCAACCTAACCTAACCTTTTTTTTATTTTTTTTTAACATGGGGAAATGCCTACGC